ACTACTTACCGCTCATTCTGCATAGCTGTAGACTGCATAGGGTTGACTGTTGGGCTGACAGATTTGTTCCTTTCCCAAATCATCATGAGTTCAGCCATCCTCTCTTCAGCACACTGGGCTGTCAGTCGAGCTTCAGCATCCTGATCCCAACAGTCCTCAATTGTCTCTTTCAGTGACCTCACAGCCTATAAAGTAAACCAGCATTACGTTCTGCACCCTTTTAAAGCTATACTTCAACACACATTCTAAGACCAAACAATAAACTGAATCTCAAAATTACATATCCTGTGTTCTAAAGGGTCAAGAAATGTTACACAATCCTGTGTATATTTTCTCAAAAGCCAGCCTTACTAATTTCAATGGGGCATCTCCCAGGTAAAACTTTTAGAAAAATAGTACAATGAGTAAGTAATCTTGTCTGTACTAAGGTATGTTATTACTTGATCTGGTGCAGCTAAGATTCTCTTTAAAAGCAATTTGGTCTAGGTTCGTTTGACAACAGAGTTGATAAAACAACTATATGATTTCACAAACAGGGAAACAGAAATTATTCTAAACATGTTGATTGCAACAGTGAGATATTTTCAATCGTGTTACATGTTTTCAAAATATGTTACAAGGTGGGTGGTAGAGGTTTCAGGTGTTTATACAAATCTTACTAAACAGACATGGTAGCTATAATCCGATTACTGAGAATGAGGATGCTTACATCTGTTACTTCTATTGTGAATGTTAATGAATTAAGAAACTGAGCAAATGAAACAGAGTCTAGTCCAAAAACAGAGTATGGTAATTTATTGTATCCATCAGTCTGTTGGACTGACATTGCCTGAAATAACACATTAAACTTTTATAATAAAATATATTTTAAAGCACATTGATGTGTCCTGCGTAGTGATCAAGACAGTGAACTGGGCATTTAAAGAGCACACACACGAAAGATAGAATACGTTACTGACCTCATCATGAAATGTCCAGTCCATATTTGTATCTTGCACTCAAATATTACTTTTTATTAATTTTAGTTTAATTTCCTAAAGACAGCAACTTACATATTAAACCAATGTTATGCCTCCAACTCCATAATCTAGCATCTTACATATGATTTCTAAATGAAAAGGGGGGGGGGAAGGTAGCAACTTGCTTCTCTCACCAAGCTGTTCTCCTTCCAGGCCTCTGGGAATTTTGGTCGTTGCTTTTCCCTTGAAACAAGAACTTGCATATCTTCAAAAGTGGGGTGGTTTCCAACTTCTGCGTGGAATGCTGCCTGGAACTCTGGCACTGATTCTCCTGTTTACAGACATCATAATTTAAACGTAAACAAAAAGTCCAAATAGCTCTGAAATGCCCAGGCATAGCAGGAAGATGCCTATCATATTTTTTCCTCTGGCATCTGAACCAATGTTTGGTCCAGTTGTACTGTGAGCTGCATGTGCTATTGGCTTAATCTCGCTCTTTTGCAAAGTCGATTGACAAAATTGCCTAAGCTCTGCAAATATGTTATGCCTAACATATGAGGAAGAAAAGCAACATTTAAGGGACCTTGCCTACTTGAGGACCAGGAGATACTTAAAGGAAACCAGATAGTGCATCCTGCATGCTGATCCTAATTATTCTACAATGTATTTGGATATTTTTGTATGATTTTACTGTTTTAACTTATGCCAATAAAGGGTTGTAGCAGCAGTAGTTGTATTCTACAAGTTCACGGATGCATTATTTTCTCCATTCCTACATTGACTCAAACGCAACTGTATGACAATCTTTGCCTCTTCTTCCACCCAATCTTGTAGATCTATCTGAAAAATCCTAAGAATGATCTAGGGAAGTTCAACAGATGTGACAAGGATCACTCAAAATGATGCAGCTCCAGTATGTGGACAAGATGTTTGGTTTGGTACAAACGAATACCTGTGCTCTGGACCCTTGTCCTTCTTGGCTGTTAAATCCAGCAGGGAGGAGACAGCTGTCTGGGCCAGGGAGCTGGTCAATGCCTCTTTATGAGAGGGGCCAGTTCCTTTCTGTTTGAAGGAGGCAATGAGAAGACCGCTTCTTAAGAAACCATCTCTAGATTCTGAGAACCTTGGTAATTACCAGCCAGTTGCCAACCTCCCTTTCTTGGGAAAGGTTCTTGAGTGGGTGGTTGCTGACCAGATCCAGGTGCTCTTGGAGGAGACTGATTTTCTAGATCCATTTCAATCAGGGTTTCAGCCTGGCTTTGGCACAGAAACTGCCCTGGTTACTGCCCAGGAGAGAGACAGGGGCAATGTGTCCCTGTTAACCCTCCTTGACCTCTTGGTGTCTTTTGATACCATTGACCACTGTATTCTCCTGGAGAGGCTATCTGAGTTGGGAGTGGGCGGCACTGCTCTGCAATGGCTCCAGTCCTACTTGGATGGTCGCTTTCAGTGGGTGATGCTTCGGGACTGTATTTCAGCACCATGGGGCCTTCAAGAAGGTGTCCCTCAAGGCTCAATTCTATTCCCCCATATTGCTTAATATCTACATGAAGCCGCTGAGTGGAGTCATCTGGAGTTTGTGCATGTGTTGTCAGCACAACAACACAGCTCTATTTTTCCTTTCCATCTGCAGGTGTGGCAGTGGTGTCTTGCCTTGGTAATGGACTGGATGAGAGCAAATAAACTGAAGCTCAATCCAGACAAGACAGAGGCATCATTAGTGGGTGGTTCCCTAGACCAGATAGGTGGAAGATTGCCTGCTCTTGAGGGGGTTACACTTCCTCTTAAGGAGCAAATACTTCTGGGGTGCTTTTGGATCCACTCCTTGAGGCCCAGTTGCTTGAAGGCCAGGTAGCCTTGGTGGTGCAGAGTGCCTTCTGTCAGCTTTGGCTGGTGGCCCAGCTGCACCACTATCTGGACAAGGATAGCCTAACTTCTGTGGCCTACACTCTGGTAACCAATGTATAACCAATGTGTTATACATGTGGCTGCTTCTGAAGACAGTCTGGAAACTTCAGCTGGTGCAAAATGCAATTGCCACATTGTACAATGCCCTGGGATCTTTTGATAAAGGGTGGTAAATAAATTGAAATAATAAAGGAATACAGTGGTACCTCGAGTTACAAACGCCTCAGGTTACAAATGCTTCAGGTTACAAACTCTGCTAACCTGGAAGAGTTACCTCGAGTTGAGAACTTTGCCCCAGGATGCAAACAGAAATCGTGTGCCAGTGGCGCAGCGGCAGCAAGAGGCCCCATTAGCAAAAGCACGCCTCTTGTTAAGAAGAGTTTCAGGTTAAAAACAGACCTCCGGAATGAATTAAGTTCGTAACTAGAGGTACCACTGTACTAATAACAACTAAATAATTACAATTCAGACTAATGATACTTTCCTCACATACTTCATGAAAAAAGCTGACAATTTATTTTTCAAAATTTCAGGGACATATTTATATGGAAGCTCCCCATATACCTGGTTTGCCTTGGTAACAAAATATGAAATCCCACAATGTGCTGTTTTGAGGCCTTCCCCGCTTCTTTTGTGGCTTGTGCTACAAATGCAGAATTTCAGATGTTACTGGTCTGCCATACATATGTATGTGTGTGTGTGTGTGTGTGTGTGTGTGTGTTGGTGGAGACTGGGTATACCACCAGCCACCCAACAAACCTCATGGGGACATGTCCACAGTATTCATTCAGCTTTACCAGCTCTAACATATAAGCTTTCCTTAATACCTAAAGCTTATCGACAACATTACTTTATCAGGCACCAAGGCTACATGTTTCATCATGAATTACAACATTCAATACAACTCTGAAACACTAGATGGCACTGAGTTCACTGTGGGAAACAAACAAGAGAACTGGGATTTGCAGCCAATCCTTACAGATCTCAATAGCAACCCCCACCCCGCAAAAGACCCAAAACCAGTGGATGTAATCGGAGTAGAAGAATTCCAGCAATTCCTCTATTACCTGGGAACAGGTCTGTGCATCTCATAAAAATCTCCCAGTAGATTAGGCCTAGTGCATACATATCTACTTGTTTTAGAGCGGATTCGCAATCCCTCAAGTTCACAGCTCCTTCCAGCACTTCGGGGGCCATGTAGCGAATTGTACCAACCTGCAGAAACATGTTGTGACATTCTTACATTAGCTCAGTATTTACAAAATCCCGTCTGTTGCCCTTATCTTTAAGTAGAACTACCCCTCCCCATTTATGTTCGCTTCCATTCTCAGGGTGGAATCTCTTGAACAGAAAGCCTTTTCAAGGCCATACTGCCTTGACCTGGTCTTATTAACCACATTTATAATAACAACTATGCCCATTTTGTTGTGTCCTCAGTCCCAATAAAAGTCTTTTGTGGCATGATCTAATAGTTTTGAGAAGTAGCCATAAGTGGAACAGGAGCAAAGCAATGTTTAGCTAAAAAGTTCAGTATTTCCTTGACCTCAAAATTAATAATAAAGGTTCTCTTATTTCCAGCAGGAGCATAAAGAGCGACAGCTGCATGTAGGGCAGATAGTCTTAGAGATATATTTATTCATTCACACTGAGCAGGTGACAGGATCAGACCATTTCTCCACCTCCATTTGGCAAAAGGAAACATGAGGAGCTGGTTTTTTTAAAAAAAACTTTTTGTGAAATAACGACCTTTTATAGCATTTTATACCATCCCTCCTTTCACTGTAAAAAGTGACACAGTAAATCTGGTATTCTGGGAACAGCTATCCTTTAGATTGTTATACAGATACAAAATTAACATTGTACCTTTAAAAAGAAATAAAAACCATGCATGATATGCTGAGGCACTTGGGATTTTTATGTATCTTGAACTAAAAAGCAGGGATTAATTCTCTTTCAATTTCCCCTTTTCAGATACAGTTATAAATTTTAGTTACTGAACTACCTGTAGAGGGGATTTCAATCTCAGGTTAAGCACACAGCCGTTACTGGAGGTGTTGGAAAGGTCTGTTGACATGTGCAAACAAATAATGGGCACAACAAGCTGAATGGTTAATGTTTCTAACAAATTTCTTTACAGGTTACTTCCTAACATACGAATCAAGTCCAGGATGTACACCATATACAATCCTTAAGCAAGGTATATAACCTATTTAATTAAATCCAATGCAGATATATTCCTTCCTTTCTTAATACATTCTTGTTTGAGTTCATATATTACCGTATTTTTCGCTCTATAAGACGCACCTAGTTTTTGCAGGAGGAAAACAAGAAAAAAAATATTCTGAATCTCAGAAGGCAGAACAGCAAGAGGGATCGCTGCGCAGTGAAAGCAGCAATCCCTCTGCTGTTCTGGCTTCTGGGATAGCTGCACAGCCTGCATTCACCCCACAAGACGCACACACATTTCCCCTTACTTTTTAGGAGGGAAAAAGTGAGTCTAATAGAGCAAAAAAACACAGTACAGTGGTGCCCCGCAAGACGAAATTAATTCGTTCCGCAATTTTTGTCGTCTAGCGAATTTTTCGTCTTGCGAAGCACGGTTTCCCATAGGAATGCATTGAAAATCAATTAATGCGTTCCTAGGGAAACCCGCTTGCCAGGCTGGCGGTGCAGAGAAGGGCTTTTCTCCCCACCGCAAGCCTTCAGCACAGGTACGGGAACAGAGGGGAAGGCGCGCAGCGCTTTCCCTCTGTTCCCGGGGCTTGCGTGGGAGGAGGGTTTTTCCTCCCCACCGCCAACATTCAGAACAGCATTCTGAATGTTGGCGGGTGGGAAGGAAAACCCTTCTCCCACCCCAAGTCTTCAGGACAGCCATCCGAAGGCTGGCGCGGGGAGAAGGTCTCTCCGCCCCCCCCACGCCAGGCTTCGGTGCATCCTTCAGAGGCTGCTGCCATAGTCACGCGTCACTTCTCCAGCTGGGAGAGGGTCGCGGGGCTATGGTTTCTTTAGCCCCGCGCGCGCTCTCCTGGCTGGAGAGGTGGCGGGCGCCTATGGAGGCTCCTGCCATAGGCGCGCGTCACTTCTCCAGCTGGGAGAGGGTCGCGGGGGGCTGGTTTAGCCCCGCGCGCGCTCTCCTGGCTGGAGAGGTGACGGGCGCCTATGGAGGTTCCTATGGAGCTGTTCCTGGAACAGCTTTCCGAAGTGGGGCGGCTGGGGCAGATGTCCCCGCCCCCCCTCCCCGCTTCGGAACAGCTTTCCGAAGTGGGGCGGCTGGGGCAGATGTCCCCGCCCCCCTCCCCGCTTCGGAACAGCTTTCCGAAGTGGGGCGGCTGGGGCAGGTGTCCCCGCCCCCCCGCCCCACTTCGGAACAGCTGCAAAAGACGTCAGGGGGAAGCGGGGAAGCGAAGCGCTTCGCTTCCCGCTTCCCCCGGACCTCTTCTGAAGCAAGGGGCTGGGGGGAGATCGCTATCTCCCTGCAGCCCCTTGCTTCAGAAGAGGTCCGGGGGAAGCGGGAAGCGAAGCGCTTCGCTTCCCCGCTTCCCCCGACGTCTTTTGCAGCAAGGGGCTGCAGGGAGGTCGCTATCTCCCCCCAGCCCCTTGCTTCAGAAGAGGTCCGGGGGAAGCGGGAAGCGAAGCGCTTCGCTTCCCCGCTTCCCCCGACGTCTTTTGCAGCAAGGGGCTGCAGGGAGATCGCTATCTCCCCCCAGCCCCTTGCTTCAGAAGAGGTCCGGGGGAAGCGGGGAAGCGAAGCGCTTCGCTTCCCCGCTTCCCCCGACGTCTTTTGCAGCAAGGGGCTGCAGGGAGATCGCTATCTCCCCCCAGCCCCTTGCTTCAGAAGAGGTCCGGGGGAAGCGGGGAAGCGAAGCGCTTCGCTTCCCCGCTTCCCCCGACGTCTTTTGCAGCAAGGGGCTGCAGGGAGATCGCTATCTCCCCCCAGCCCCTTGCTTCAGAAGAGGTCCGGGGGAAGCGGGGAAGCGAAGCGCTTCGCTTCCCCGCTTCCCCCGACGTCTTTTGCAGCAAGGGGCTGCAGGGAGATCGCTATCTCCCCCCAGCCCCTTGCTTCAAAAGAGGTCCGGGGGAAGCGGGGAAGCGAAGCGCTTCGCTTCCCCGCTTCCCCCGACGTCTTTTGCAGCAAGGGGCTGCAGGGAGATCGCTATCTCCCCCCAGCCCCTTGCTTCAGAAGAGGTCCGGGGGAAGCGGGGAAGCGAAGCGCTTCGCTTCCCCGCTTCCCCTGACGTCTTTTACAGCAAGGGGCTGCAGGGAGATCGCTATCTCCCCGCAGCCCCTTGCTTCAAAAGAGAAGACCCGCTGTCCCCGGGGCAAGCTTCGTTTTGCGAAGCAAGCCCATAGGGGAATTCGTCTTGCGAGGCAAATCGCGGACGAAAAAAACCTTTCGTCTAGCGAGTTTTTTGTCTTGCGAGGCGTTCGTCTTGCGGGGCACTACTGTACACAGTACTCGAATGTGGTTAAGGAAAGGAAGTAACCAGAAAGGAGAGGCAGACAAACCCACAGAGCTCTGCCACAAACCAATCAAGATTATTCACATGCATTGTATCAGGGATGAAGGACTTGGCCTCTCTACTCCAAAATATAAGCAAGCGGCAACCAGGAAAGATTTGGGGCCCTTTCTGTGAACATTTTGATTACAGATCTGTGCTCGAAACAAAGTGTCCCTTAAAAAAACAACCAGGGTCTTCTACTTCATGATAGTCACATCAAGGTAGAGAACTCTCATTGGCTCGGGTTCTAACAGGAGTCAAGGAAGCTCATGAAAGAAAAAAATCCCATCAGCCTCTCTGCTTTGCAACTGCCTGTGACCTCTGGAAAGCCTCTCTGGAAGTTTGGGGGACCAGCTGAACAATGTGGGCTGAGATGTGATCATTGTGTGCGTGTGTGTGTGTGTGTGTGAGACAGAGAGAGAGAGAGAGAGAGAGAGAAAGAAGAAAAGAAGGAAGGAAGGAAGGAAGGAAGGAAGGAAGGAAGGAAGGAAGGAAGGAAGAAAGAAAGAAAGAAAGAAAGAAAGAAAGAAAGAAAGAAAGAAAGAAAGAAACTATCCTTCTATGAACATCCTTGTTAACTTATTTTGGGATCCAAGTCTCATATTCAGTTAAGAAGAAGAAGAGGAATTTGGACTTGATATCCTGCCTTTCACTCCCTTTAAGGCAGGAATGCCCAAAGTCCATCTTGGGGGCCTAATCCAGCCCGCCGGTCAGTTTAATCTGGCCCCTGTGACAGTTATTATTTATGGGGTAAAATCTTTAAAAAACCTCAGCAACTTCAATCCTAAAAAAAGGCCAGCAGCTTTGGTTGGCCCCCGCAGCCCTTCACTTCATCAAATCTGGCCCTCTTTGAAAAAAGTTTGGACACCACTGCTTTAAGGAGTTTTAAAGTGGCTAACATTCTCCTTTCCCTTCCTCCCCCACAACAAACACTCTGTGAGGTGAGTGAGGCTGAGAGACTTCAGAGAAGTGTGACTAGCCCAAGGTCACCCAGCAGCTGCATGTGGAGGAGCAGGGATGCGAACCCAGTTCACCAGATTACGAGTCCACCGCTCTTAACCACTACACCACGCTGGCTCTCTGTTACTGTTCTCACCCTGCATCCCCTCCTCATGTCCTGTTCCACACTGTCTCAGAAGCCCACTTCCAACGGCTGGAGATGCTTTTTGGGGATGGAGGGGAGGAGAATCAGGTTGCTGCAGGGGAGAGTTGATGGGAAACTTTCCTTCCGTGAACTTCCTTAAGATCTTAGAAGAAGTTTCTGAAGGGAATCCTTCCGTTGTGCATAATTTAACCGTGTCCAACCATTGTATTCCCTTTCCATACTTACCTCACTGATTGCAGCATTGTCCTCCTCCCCTGGGCGCACTAGTCTATTTCCTGTTAGCTTCATGGAGAGTCCAAAATCACTAATAACACACGTTCCATCATTCTTCACCAATACGTTACGGCTGTTCAAATCCCGGTGGGAGATGGCAGGTTTGTAGTGATCTGTTTGGACATTTGAAAACCTTGCTTTAGGATTTCTAATTGTTTCTGTCCAGTATACTAAGAAATGATTGCTATACTATACTATTCTGAATCTAAGAATCTGTTCTATAATCATGGATATTTTTAAAAAGCAACAAACTGTGCAAACTTCAGAATAAATATCTATGCCAGTACTAAAATAATATATTATCACACTTTTTTGTTTTACAGAACAAGTATGTCTCTGTCAGTGGAAGAAAAGAGAGGTAATTTCAAAATATTCTTTCTCCCCCCAGCAGCTCACGAGTACCCCTAAATTTGCTAAAAATGGTTGGGGGACCCTTGAGAAGAAATTTAGAGGGACATGGAGGGGCTACAGAGGGGAAAGGGGAATCACCAATAACTGCCTCCCTCAGCATTCTGCTGATGGACTGGCAGTGCTCCAAAGGGGGCCAGAAGGCCAGTGATTTATGGGGATTGATGCTGGTTGTCAGGCAGGATCCAGACCAGGTGGAGGAGGAAGAATCAAGGCAGTCCGAGATGGAGGGAGGTGCGCAGGTTGTGGTGGAGGAAGAAGGGATAGCTCAGGCGAGGGACAGGTCAGTGGATTCCCAACATTCCCCTGCCCCACTGTCTCCTAGAACCAGGTGGGGCCTGAAAAGGGAAGAGCAGCGATGATGTCCATGCAGGAAATGTTTCAGGTTGTGGCCATGCAACCCGTCAGAGGAGGGTTTGTGGCTAATTTAGGAGCATGAAACTCCGGAGATGTTAAGCTTTTAACCATATCATTGGTATATAGGTTAAATAAAGCTGGGGCTGGAATGCAGCCTTGCTTAACCCCCTTGGCGGCTGGTACAGGGCCTATGAGTTGGCCATTTGTGGAAGATCTTACGTACAGCACAGTATCTTTATATAGGCCACTAATCAAAAATAATAATCTTTAATCTATACTGGATGTATTCAATTTGGCCCAGAGTCTTACTCGTGAAATTGAATCAAAGGCAGCCTTCAAATCAATGAAGGCTGCATATAAGACCCCACGGGTTTTCTTGGCGTATTTATCGATAAGATGTGCTAAGACAAAACAGTGATCTATGGTAGATCTGCCTTGCCTAAATCCAGCTTTCAGAGGAGGGTATATAAGCCGAAGGAGGGGAAGGGGCCCACTGCTCTATAGGACCCAGACCTGTGGACAGCTGCCTAGAGGCTAGACATTGTAGCATTTCTCTTGCAGACAAGGTGCAAACTATCAGATATGTGCTTCTTTACCTGGGGCAGGCCATGACAACAGATTATTTTGATCAGCAGATGTATACTGTTAGATACAACCCAATAGCATAGAAAAATATGGCAAAAATAGTGTCTCTTCTTTCTCCCCATGCACAAAGAAGTCATATATATCATATAATTGTAGAGTTGGAAGGAATCCTGAGGGTCATCTAGTCCAACCCCCTGCAATGCAGGAATCTTTTGCCCAACGAAGGGATTGAATCCACAACCCTGAGATTAAGGGTATCATGCTCTACCAACTGAGCTATCATTCCTCCTTGTTCTGATTCATAATATCTGGTTGCCTGAGTCAGAGACATTGAGTAATTCTGTAATTTTTGTACCTGCTCTTATTTGGTATTTCTGTTCAATTTTTTCCCCTAAAAGCAGCCTTCAAAGTTACTGTGGGGTAACAAATGACTCAAAAAATCTTAGTTCCATATATTTTTATTTGCAATCAACTTCTCAGGCCATTTTTCTCAGGCTTTGTGCTACTTTTTCAATCATACATTGCTCAGCATGCATTGAGAGTATACTGTTACTGGAGCCATTTTTCAGCTGAAGAGAAGGGTAAAAATAATTTAAGTGTGTAAGCAAATAAAGCATAATGTATTATAAATCAAGTGCCAAAATTAAGACACCTCATCATAGTTACTAATTATTTAAGAAGGCTCCAAATGAGCTTAGATAAAGCACAATGGGTGCAAAAAAGTGTATCGGAGAGTCGCTTATTTCTAATGGCAGAAATATTTGCATCACCATAAAATAAAAATCTGTAAAAATCCTTTGATTCTGTTATCAAACAGAAAATCCTAAATTATCTTTATGGAAAGCTGCAGACCCCTGGCCTTACCTCCTCGAGGCAACTCTGTGTGGAGATACGCCAGACCTCTAGTTATAGTGTGTGCCAAACGACATGAGTTCACCCAGTCACTAGTATGAAGACTCAAATACCTGCACAAAGAGCCCTGGAAAGGGAATAAACAGTGCATGTTATTAGGGTCATCAGTCCTTTGTAGAGACTTTTAATCAACACTTATTTCCAATACTCCATTTCAAAATTTGTGGACCTAGGTTATTGCTTTCATTAACAGGAAGAGAGGTGCTAGTTTGTTTGTGGTTACTGTTGGCTTTATCTAAAAATGACACTCATGTCCACCAGATGTGCTTCATGATGGCAAAAGAAATGGTATTTTCTGAGGCAGCTTTAATCAAACGACTTAACCACATTTCACAATTGCTCACTTATAGGAGAAAAGGAAAGAGACATCTGGGGACATCCCAGGCTCCAGTGACACAACCATTCATGGTTAAACATGCTCCTATTTGTAAAGCCCTATATTAAGTTCTGGGATGTGGGTGGCGATGTGGGTTAAACCACAGAGCCTAGGACTTGCTGATCAGAAGGTCGGTGGTTCGAATCCCCGTGACGGGGTGAGCTCCCGTTGCTCGGTCCCTGCTTCTGCCAACCTAGCAGTTTGAAAACATGTCAAAGTGCAAGTAGATAAATAGGTACCGCTCCGGCGGGAAGGTAAACGGCGTTTCTGTGCGCTGCTCTGGTTCTTAGTCATGCTGGCCACATGACCTGGAAGCTGTACGCTGGCTCCCTCGGCCAATAAAGCGAGATGAGCGCCGCAACCCCAGAGTCGGTCACTACTGGACCTAATGGTCAGGGGTCCCTTTACCTTTATATTAGGTACTACTTCTTGTTCTAGGTTCAGAATGTGATGCCAGAATGTGACAGAACCTTTCATGTGTATATAATGCAGCTCCTGGCATTTTCTTCTTTAATATCATGGGAGTAGTAGTTCCACCAGTGGAAGCCTTATAAGAAGCAGCGAAGCGACTGTGAGCAACATCATGGGAGGGGTGTTTCTATGACTAAGGTGAAATTATGAAGCTCCCTTCTTATTTTTGCTGTTCGATTCTGCATGTTCTTTAAATAGTCTTGTTAGATTTGCAGTACTGGAATGTGGGGTTTTTTTGGTATATCATTATCTTTGCTATTGTTTTGCTATGTTATTATGAAATTGCTGCTACGTTATTGTTTTGCTATGTTATTGTGAAAATGTTTTTGTAGCATTTGTTTGAAATGCATCCGTTTCCTTGTTGAAAGCTGCTTTAAGCCTCATTTTGTGTGTGGAAAAGCAACATACAAATAAAACGAATGAATGAACCTGACCTGTTCTTACTAAAAATACAATAATGTAAAATCCCCACAGAATATTTTTACATTAATTGCAACTTAAATCAATTTTCTGTCTTCCCAAAGGTGTATAAAGTAACTCTCTTTAAATTATTACTTACATTGGGATAATATTCCATCACTAATAAGTATTCCATCCGTCCATCTGCAGTGAATCTCTCATCTCCCACAATGAATCGGGCAATATTGTCGTGTTCCATAAGTGGGATTCTGTATATATTTCTCTCATTGATAAAGTTTTGACGATTAGTGAAAGAAAATACTTTTACAGCCACTGGACGCTCATCTAAGGAACCTTTGTAAACTGCTCCATATCGCCCTCGACCAATAAGCTGTGAAATTTAAAAAAGTAACCATTTGATGAACTTCACATTAATACGATATACATTTTGGCCACAGTCCAGTGCACAGTCCACTTAAATTTCTTGATTTCAGTAAGCATGAGCACTGAGTTTTGTCCATGGATTTGGGCCTTTCAACTGCAGTGCTACAGTTCACTCTGACATGGTAGAGCATATAGTTCATCTTAGTATCTAAAGAAACATATATACAAGTGGAAATTGTTGTTACTTAAAAAGAAGAAGAGGAAGAACCCAATAACAGGATTCAAAGACATGGCTCATGTTAAGCTTGGCTTGATGAGGCATGGCTTTGTTAAATTAAAATAGAAATGGGGCTTCATGCATGCAGATCATCACAAACTTGTGAATATAGTAACCACAAAAATATTAATTTTGTCTTTCTAAACACCAGCTGAGAATACAAGCGGTTTTATTTATGAAGAAATACTCGAGTGATAATGTTATAGGACAAAGAGATCTTAAGATGAAGGTCAGTATATTGAATGAATGAATGAATAGCCCCTTTATCATGACCTAGTTGTCAGGTACAAAAAAGTAGCATCTAGCTAAATGATTATCAGTGTGGTTGCAAAAATCCTTAAATACTAACTTGTATGTATGTAAAGTAAGCATTAACATCTTGTACTAAATTGATCAGGTGATTCATAATTCATGCGAAGAGCAAAGACCTAGAAACTCCAAATGGCATAGTTACCTCCAGTAGCTTCAGATTATCAAGATCTAACGAGGGTTCAGATGATGCTGCTTCCATCATGTCTATACTGTGCATACCTTGTTTATGATCTCCTGATGAAAGAAGAGCCAGGAAAAAAAGTTTGTGTTACACATCAAAATGTCCGAGGTCTTGACAATGTCTTGGCAACGGACAAACCTATCCAGGAGACACCTTGCAAACAACTTAAAGCGTTAGACAGAGTGGCAGTTTTAGAAGAACCAATATTAGTACGGCCAATTGATGCCAGCTATGGAGTTTTGCACATTACTTTCCCTATGCCAAGGTTAATCGGGACAGCTAACATGCTGTGTTCCTCAAGATCTTATCTGCAAAATCCCACCGCATGTACTGTGTTAAAGGAAAATATAATGAAAATGATGTACCGATGGTATTTGACTCCTGTAAAATTAGCAAAGATATATCATAACTGTGACAATCTATGTTGGAAATGTAAAGAAAAGGAAGGAACCTTTTATCATATGTGGTGGACCTGTCCCAAGGTGAAGGACTTCTGGGAAAAGGTTTATAATGAATTGGAAAAAATGTTGAAATATACATTTATAAAGAAACCAGGGGCCTTTCTTCTTGGAATAACAGGTTTGGAATTGCCCAAGAAAGATGTTAAATTATTTTTGTATGCCACAACTGCTGCTCGTATTTTGTTAGCTAAAAAGTGGAAAACCCAAGAATTACCAACGATAAAAGAATGGCAGATGAAGATGAGGGATTTTTCGGAGCTAGCCGACGAAGGAGGAGGAGTACCAGGAAGAATGGATTAAATTAATGATTACTTAGTTAAATATGTCAAGTTAAATTAACTGAAAACAGCTTGCAGATACTTAATTGGCTTACGATTTTATTTATGTTAAATGATGAATTAATATGTTTAATTTCATAATGTGAAGATTTAAGGATGTTAATGTTTAAGTTAAATTTTATAAGAACTGTGATTTGGAAAACTGTTAAAAGGCTATGCAATGAAATTCAACCAAGGGGAAGAGAGGAAGTCACTTAACAATGTTAATAAGTGTCATTTTCAATAAGGCTATGATTTATGTTTGTTTTTCTTATGTGTTTGTTTGTTTGTTTGTTTGTTTATAATGTTGTGAAAACCAATAAAAAAAATTTGGGGAAAAAATCTTATCTGCAAAATCTAAAACACCTTGTCACATGCATCCCCTTTATTATGGTTTTCTTGTTACCATCAACTGCCACGAAAAACCTCCAGTAGCTGTGTAGCACCTCTCTGAAAAATAGAGAAGGTGCATGTGACAGGCCCTCTAGACATTAAAGCTTGGATATTTGCTTTGGGAGCATGGCCCTCACAGGGAAAAGGGAACGGACTGAATGTTACTGAAGCTGGCAGCAAATTGCTGCCTGCATTCTGATCTCTGGGTAGGCTATGGGGACATTTTGTTATAATGCGTTTTATATTTTAAAAACTGGATTGCCAAACAGAAGCGTAAGTAACTCGGGAATGATCATGATAAGAAAAACAAAAGATGAGAATTAACAACACACTCATCAAAGCTTACCTCCAAATATTCTGTATCCAAAGAAAAAGGCAACCACCAGAACAGCCAATACAGATACTGATGCCAGAGCAATGACAATTGTCTCATCTCGGCGAAGTGAATATGATGAATCTGAAAGAAAGAAAACTATGTATTATGGCTTCTTCATATAAGGCATGTTTCTCAGAAAGAATTAGGATACCCAGTAGAAAGCAAATGAGACTGAAGTATTACTCTGGTGATTATATGTCCTACAGAGAAATTTACGGTCTGCAAATAAAAACATCTTGAAGATCCCAGGCCATAGAGAGGTTAGGCTGGCCTCAACTAGAGCCAGGGCCTTCTCGGCCGCGGCTCCAATCTGGTGGAACGCTCTGTCACAAGAGACTAGGGCCCTGCAGGACCTGACATCCTTCTGCAGGGCCTGCAAGACAGAGCTGTTCCACCAGGCCTTTGGTCAGGGCGCAGCCTGACCCCCTCCTCTGGCAATCGGCATTCTGCACAGAATTTTGCTTGATGGTTGCCATTAATTTGATTTTAATTTGATTTAATTAATTTTATAATGAATGTATTTTGATTGTTGTTAGCCGCCCTGAGCCCAGCTTTGGCTGGGGAGGGCGGGATATAAATAAAATTATTATTATTATTATTATTATTATTATTATTATTATTATTATTATTATTATTATATCACATACCCCTAATTTTTTATTTAATGTTAAAATAGCTTCAATTAAAGATAAGGATCTAGCTATTAATCATTTTAGTAAGTCCAATATCTCTGAAGATACACAAGGTAAACAATATTGCTCTTTGGAATACTATTTTTAGATGCTGACAAAACTACGGTCTTCAGAAAAGGCAACCTGCCAACTTGTTGCAAGCTTACTGTGGGAAGGTAAAAAAAATAAGTGAAAGACTTTTGAGAAATTAAAACTGGATTTCAGTTTCTAGTTATGTATCAGCTTTCACCTCAACATCAAAAAACAAAAAAACAAAAAACAAAAAACAAAGATCATGGCCACTGGTCCCATCACCTCCTGGCAAATAGAAGGGGAAGAAATGGAGGCAGTGAGATATTTTACTTTCTTGGGCTCCATGATCACTGCAGATGGTGACAGCAGTCACGAAATTAAAAGACGCCTGCTTCTTGGGAGAAAAGTGATGACAAACCTAGACAGCATCTTAAAAAGCAGAGACATCACCTTGCCAACAAAGGTCTGTATAGTTAAAGCCATGGTTTTCCCAGTAGTGATGTATGGAAGTGAGAGCTGGACCATAAAGAAGGCTGATCGCTGAAGAATTGATGCTTTTGAATTATGGTGCTGGAGGAGACTCTTGAGAGTCCCATGGACTGCAAGAAGATCAAACCTATCCATTCTTAAGGAAATCAGCCCTGAGTGCTCACTGAAAGGATAGATCCTGAAGCTGAGACTCCAATATTTTGGCCACCTCATGAGAAGAGAAGACTCCCTGGAAAAGACCCACGAAGTAGCTGATATTGGTTCCTTGGCACCAATAAGACTCTTCAGATGCTAATAAAAGGCTTGCATTTTCTTTTATTTTTACAAATAATTTTTATTAAAGATCCTGAATGGAGTAACTGTGCCTCTGAAGGACCAGGAGCCTGGGAGTCATTTTGGACTCACAGCTGTCCATGGAGGTGCAGGTCAATTCTGTATCCAGGGCAGCTGTCTACCAGCTCCACCTGGTATGCAGGCTGAGACCCTATCTGCCCGTGGACTGTCTCACCAGAGTGGTGCATGCTCTGGTTATCTCCCGCTTGGACTACTGCAATGCGCTCTACGTGGGGCTACCTTTGAAGGTGACCCGGAAACTACAACTAATCCAGAATGCGGCAGCTAGACTGGTGACTGGGGGCGGCTGCTGAGAGCATATAACACCGGTCTTGAAAGACCTACATTGGCTCCCAGTACATTTCCGAGCACAATTCAAAGTGTTGGTGTTGACCTTTAAAGCACTAAACGGCCTTGGCCCAGTATACCTGAAGGAGCGTCTCCACCCCCATCGTTCTGCCCGGACGCTGAGGTCCAGCGCCGAGGGCCTTCTGGCGGTTCCCTCATTGCGAGAACCAAAGCTACAGGGAACCAGGCAGAGGGCCTTCTCGGTAGTGGCGCCCGCCCTGTGGAATGCCCTCCCATCAGATGTCAAAGCGATAAACAACTACCTGACATTCAGAAGACATCTTAAGGCAGCCCTGTTCAGGGAAGTTTTTAATGTGTGACATTTTAGTGTATTTTTGGTCTCTGTGGAAGCCGCCCAGAGTGGCTGGGGAAACCAGATGGGCGGGGTACAAACAAACAAACAAACAAACAAACAAACAATAATAATAATTTTCTTAGCTTACAAAAGTATGTGCCTTTTCTGTCCACAGAGCTGGCCCCAGAGCTACCACCTACCCCCCCATTCCAAATAGCTATTAGCTGCTTCTATTTGCCAACATCCTTCCATACCCAACACCTTCAGCTTTGTGTAGACTAACTGAAATGTTTAGAGCTAATCATGATGCAGTTCTCTTTCAGTTATCTTAAATTCTACATTGACAAGGGAGAGACTACAAAGATGACTGTTCATCTTGCTGACTTCTCCTCCTGGTCACAGGGCAGTAATTGGAAATTATTTCAGGGGTTAAACAAAGTCCACAGCCAGTCTCTAGCTGGGATGACCTTCACATAAAATAACACACTGGTATAAAGCTGCTCTATAAAACAATGCTCCTAGTTGTTAACTTGGTTTGAATTATGCTTGGATTAGGCACACTGTAAGGCTATTTGTGTCTTCCTATTTGTTAGAACCTCACGAAGGAAGAAAATTATAGTATGATTGGGCTTTAAGAATGTTTCCTAGTAAATTCAGATTATGATTTAGAGAGAAAAATGAAGTTTAAAATCAGTTCTAATCCTGCCATTGTCCAAGATTCTGCAGCAATAAGATGATTTTCTAGTTACAGAATAAAACTAACTGATCTTTTCATTGCAATTTTATTTCTGATTCAGAACTAATAAAGTAGTTGAACAAAGCATAATGACCAACAGAGCTTTGTGTTTAGTTTAATTCTAATTGTTTTTGCACTGCAGTTGCAATTCATTTGTTAGTACGTTGAGATGCTCAAGGAAGAATAATCATTCGGGCTAAAATCCCAAATGCAAAAGAATTTTGTTTCCACATTAGTTTATTATGACTGCGATTATAATGAAGCAGGTTTATTTTTATTTAC